ATACGATAACAATGATGAACAATGCGATAACATTGATGAACAATACGATAACAATGATGAACAATACGATAACAATGATGGACAATACGATAGCAATGATGAACAATACGATAACAATGATGAATAATAGGTACGATAACAATGATGAACAATACGATAACAATGATGAACAATACGATAACAATGATGAACAATACGATATTAATGATGAACAGTACGATAACAAAGATGAACAGTACGATAACAAAGATGAACAGTACGATAACAATGATGAACAATACGATAATAATGATGAACAAAACTATAACAATGATGAACAATACGATAACAATGATGAACAGTACGGTAACAAAGATGAACGATACGATAACAATGATGAACAGTACGATAACAAAGATGAACGATACGATAGCAGGGGATAACAAGGCAGAGATACGAAACGTTATCATTATTAATGTAACGTTTGGAAATATTATTGATTAAGAAGACAAGCGAAACTATCAAGTAGTTTATTAGGAATGCAATAAAACTATACTGGCCAGTATGGGGATCGAACCCACGACATCCGCGTTATTAGCACGGCGCTCTAACCAACTGAGCTAACCGGCCGTGAAATAAAGGCTTGAGTGCGATTATTCCTATTGCAAATCACGAACTTTAAAACTGTACTTTTGAAAACTCACAGTAAACATAAACAACATTCGCGGTCAATAATGAATGCTATCTTATCTTTCATCAAAAGCTGTTGATAAAAGAATGGAAAGAACGACAGTGGATCGAGCTCACAGTTAAATAATTTAACTAAGAGGCAAATCAGATATGTTCAGCTTGTACGATATATACGGGCATAGGCAGCCACAAGCAACATAATAAATACGTGCGTTATAGAATACCTGAGGCAATAATAATTGAACTAGGAATTATAATAATTTCATCAATATTTATGTACAATATAAAACTACATAGATAAAAAAACGGACTAGCACAATATTCCTTTCCAATTTTGCAAAAAATCATAGACTGGACGTTTCAATTTTTTGCGCCATGTTCGGAGGCTATTTTTACCAAGTAAATCACAAAGTAAATCAATATAAATTCTCAATTCTTACAGCGTTCAGTATGAGTTTGACAATTCACTTTTCGCAAGTTTTGCTTATCCACGTATGTAAGGGATAAATCAGGGTCCAGCATATGGTAAGTTACAAACGTTCGTAGATACATGTTCCCAAAATCACTGGCCAGTATGGGGATCGAACCCACGACATCCGCGTTATTAGCACGGCGCTCTAACCAACTGAGCTAACCGGCCATGAATAACTTCTCAAGTGGAGTCGTTAGTATTTCACTCCAAACATTAATTGCGTTGTGATCAAACAATATTATTAAAATCTGAAGCTGCATATAATAATAAGCATGAAATTTTACGAATATAGAGAATATATTGAGGAACAGAGGATGAAATAAACATCACTGCACCAGAGAACCATACATCACCAGCTGCACCAGAGAACCATACATCACCAGCTGCACCAGAGAACCATACATCACCAGCTACCATACATCACCAGCTACCATAAATCACCAGCTTCCATACATCACCAGCCACCATACATCACCAGCCACCATACATCACCAGCTACCATACATCACCAGCACCATAAACTACCTGGAGAGCTGGAACCTCATGTGGTAGTGCAGGTCGACGATGTCGAAGCAGAAAAGCTTGCACAGCTCTGAGACGAACAGGTTTGCTTCCAGCGCCATGAAGCGGATGTTCTTCTGGATGAAGTCCAACTGAAAAATACACACGATAAGTATCGTGGAAATGCGCATCAATAGCCTTAATATACATGGGTTAGACAAAATAAGGTAAACACCTGAGAAATACAAATAATATATTTTAGTAGAGTAGGTGACCTTTTGCGGCAATTACAGCCTCAATTCTCCGAGGTATTGATTAATATAAATTGTGAATTGTTTTCAAAGGAATTTTAACACATTCTCCAATTAACACTCCCTCCAGCTCTTTTGAAGACGATGGCTGCGGGAATCGACTTCTGAATTGCATCTCTTATATCGACACTAAATGCTCGATAATATTCAGGTCTGGTGATTGTGGTGGCCAAATGAGATGCTCAACTTCATTAGAATGTTCCTCGTGGAATTTTTAAACAAAATTCCAGCTGTATGGATCTGGGCATTATTATCTTGAAAGATGGTGTTCCCCTACGCAAACAGAGCTTGAACCATTGGATGAACTTGGTCCTGTAATATTCCTAAATAGTCGCGGCTGTTGATTCTTCCGTGAAGAAAAATCATTGGTCCGCCGGATTTCCATGAAATAGCACCCCAGATTATCACAGATCCCGCGCCATGTTTTACGGTTGGGAGGAGGCAGTCGGGATTAAATGATGCTTAAGGCCGTGTCCAAACTTAAAATCTACCAGTGGTTGGAAATAAGGTAAATGATGATTCGTCGGAGAAAATAACGTTTTTCCACTGCGCGAGGGACCAATTCTGAAGGTTTCTACACCACTCTAAACGCTTTGAAGCATTTGCATTTGAAACCAGAGGTTTTCTTATTGCAGCTGTTTCATAGAATCCAGTTCTGTGCAGATCTAGGCGGACAGTCTTTATGGAAACTGGGTCTTTAGATGTCCATTGAGATCTGCAGTAATTTTACAAGCCGCGGTTTTTCGATTGTTTTTCACAATTCAATTTAGCTACCGACGGTCCCTCTCAGATAACTTCGATTTTCGGCCAGACATGTGCTTCGCTGAGGACGTTTTTCCGTCCCTTTAAAAATCAGTCATTACTTTTGAGACAGCACCTCTAGAAACGTCAAGCATTCGGGAAGTTTCTGTCACACTAGCACCTGCCATACGGGCACCAACACACCAACAATTTGGCATTTTTGAAAGTCGGAGAGGTTTGCTAGGTACTGTAGGTTGTAAGTTATGTTATAGAGACAAAAATTTACTAAAAAATATACGTGCTGGGATAGAATATCGATTAGCAGCAACAATGAAAGATAAGAAATATATCGCGTTTTCATTGTTTAGAACATGTTCAAAAATGTTTCCCTTATTTTATTCAACCCCTGTATATGGGGTTGGGGGAACATATCATAATCTGCCAGGCTTACAACACGCTAATATAATCTGCCAGGCTTACAACACTCTAACTCTCAATATTGCACGTATTATCAAGCTTTAAGGAGCACCTGCTTGATAAGAAGCCCGCCCCTGACGAGGTTCTCAGCGACAGGCAGCGTTGTGGCCCACATGACGAGAGTATCAGGGTGCACCAGCTGCCGCAGCCGTGTAAAAACCTGCACCAGCTGCTGCTTGTACGTGTCTTCCATCATAGCTCCCCACCTGTACACCAACTGTCATCAACACCAGCACCAACTGCTGCTTGTACGTGTCTTCCATCATAGCTCCCCACCTGTACACCAACTGTCATCAACACCTGCACCAACTGCTGCTTGTACGTATCTTCCATCATAGCTCCCCACCTGTACACCAACTGTCATCAACACCTGCACCAGCTGCTGCTTGTACGTGTCTTCCATCATAGCTCCCCACCTGTACACCAACTGTCATCAGGGACACTATGGCAGGCATCCTAGCGGCATGAAAAAACACGCACCACACATAGCGGTTTCAGCGTTTAGTAGGCCGTAGGCCTGTCGCCGATTCTTAACATTGCAGAACATTCACAGCTTGTTGCGAGCTTGAACTCGCAACTCACTGCTTCAAATATCCTTTGCTTAACCGCCCAGTTTTCTCACAGATTCTGACCAGAAACTGGCGCACAGAGCTGGGATCGAACCCGCGCCTCTCTGCGCCAATCTTGATACTCTGAACTGTAACCACTGGGCCACCCTGCCACTTACATGCATAGCATCAATGTTGATCATTACATTATTATCATCTGTAAATCAACAACATGCATCTGAGTTTTAAGAAATAACTATATACATTTCCAGGTATATGAAATTTTTAATCAAAATCATGGTTTGGTAATACCCCAGTCTCAGCTTCAAGGAAACTTGCTAGCTTACATGAATATTTCTTTAAATTTTTACGTCAATTGCTCCCAAAGAAAATCAAGCATTAAAAGCTTTATTTTAATACAGATAACCAGACACAGGAGAAGTTAATTCTCTTCAGTGGACAGGACAATCATGAGAACTTGAAATCTTTGTAGCTTGCATGCATTTATACTTTATAGATGTTCCGAAAATGGTGACTAAACTGGAGCAGAGTGACCTTGTGAAGTTTTAACAAACAAAAATGGACATGTTATAAGTTTGGTGAGGTGACTTAAGCAAAGTAACGTTATGTCCAGAGAAAGAAGAAAGGAACATGTTGTAAGATTGGCGATATGACTTTAGCAAAGTAACACTGTTAGCTGACTATAGCAAAATAACCTTGTAATGTCCAGAGACAAAACATGTAAGTTTGACGAGATGCCTTTGTAAAAGTAACGTCGTTATATCCAGAGATAGAAGAAAGTGACATGTTGTAAGTTTTTGCTATGTGACTTTAGCAAAATAACTTCATGTCCAGAGACAAAAGAAAGTTACATGTAAGTTGGCGAGATGCATTTATCGAAGTACTATAACCTCGTAATGTCCATATAGACAAAAGAAAGTGACATGTTGCAAGTCGAGATGGCTTTATGAAAGTAACCTCGTAATGTCCAGAGATAGAAGAAAGTAGTAACATGTTGTAAGATTGGCGAGGGTACTTTAGCAAAGTAACCTCGTAAAGTCCAGAGACAGAAGAAAGTGACATGTTGTAAGTTTGGCGAGCTGACTATCGCAAAGTAACCTCGTGATGTCCAGAGATAGAAGAAAGTGACATGTTGCAAGTATAGATGCCTTTATGAAAGTAACCTCGTAATGTCCCAGACACAGGAGTTGAGCAGTATAATATCCGGGCAAGGTATGTCACCGCGCTCCATCTCATTGAGCTGCCACAGCATCTGTTGACCCATCACTCGCGTCACAAAGCAGAAGCGAACGCGCACGCCGTTAGCGCCCTGCAAGTATAACATAACATAAAATAACATAACATAACGTAACATAACACAACACAACACAACATAACATAAAATAACATAATATAACACAACATAACATAAAATAACATAACATAACACAACATAACATAAAATAATATAACATAACATAAAATAACATAACATAACATAAAATAACCTAACATAACATAATCTAACATAAAATAACATAAAATAACACAACATAACATAAAATAACATAACATAACATAACATAACACAACATAACATAAAATAACATAACATAACACAACATAACATAAAATAACATAACATAATCTAACATAACATAATCTAACATAACATAACATAACACAACATAACATAACATAACATAACATAACATAACATAACATAAAATAACATAAAATAATATAACATAACATAAAATAACATAACATAACATAAAATAACCTAACATAACATAATCTAACATAAAATAACATAAAATAACACAACATAACATAAAATAACATAACATAACATAACATAACACAACATAACATAAAATAACATAACATAACACAACATAACATAAAATAACATAACATACCCTAACATAACATAATCTAACATAACATAATCTAACATAACATAACATAAAATAACATAACATAACATGACATAACATAACATAACATAACATAACATAAAATAACATAAAATAACATAACATAACATAAAATAACATAACATAACATAACATAACATAACATAACATAGTGATCTCGGCGCTGAAGCACTTTTCCTTTTCGTGCCTTGTTCACAAAAGATCTAAAATCGTGTCATTTGACCGGATTTTTTCATGACTGACAATAGTTTGAACGGACATGATACCATATATGTTGGCTTCAGTTTTTCACTGCAAAGTGACAAAGCAAAGAGTTCTTTAGAATTTCCCTCAACTTCATTTTTGAGTCCTATTAGTAGACCAGTAAAGTACCATGGATACCAGCATTAGCATACATACAAATTTGTTTGCATTTTCAGTTAAGTAGGGAATTGAAAATACCTATACTGATTCCAAAAAATCTTTGGTTTGTTACTATGCTTTACTGGAACATGAGAATAGAAACTTTGGCTTTTGAATTAATTTCAATATTAGAATTGAAATTTTCTCAGAAAAGGACAGTAGCAGCAGCTTCTAGTCATATATTAGCTTCCAGCTTAGAATTGTTATATAATGAGATGTAGGTATGGCAGCAGCATTTTGTCCAATACATCAACACAACAAATTGCATAAAACAAATTACTTAATATACAATGAGGAACAAATTGCATAAAACAAATTACTTAACAATGTGGACAAAAAATCATACTTTTAGTATAATATGACCCTCAGAAATGCAGTATTTAATCAAATGATCAATGCCATAGATAAATGATTCTACAAACAGAAGCTTAGGGAAAAAATGCAGAAAATTCAACACTAAATACCAATTGCTCAAGAAAATAGAGGCATATAAACAGCAATGGATAGTGTATATATCAAGTGAATTTGTGCATAGCAATAACACACAGAGAACAATCTTATGAATAAATACTCCACATATTTTACAGTATTTTTAAACTCACCCAATACTCCCTTATTTCCTGGAGGTTGCGGGTAGCATTTCTGACGTCGTTTTGCTTTACCACCTTATCCACCTCCTTCACTTTCACATTCTGACAAAAAATTAAACTATTTTTATGGATATATTTATCAATATGACCAATATACAATATCAATAAACCAATATATAAATCACATTGAACTCGTGAGCATGTAAATAGAGCATATAAAATAGCCCATGGCAACAGAGATGATATTCTGCCAATGTAGGACCATTTAAGTTACGTAGGATCAACTTCTTATACTATGAAGTACCAACTCAAGAACATGGGGTAACATGAGCAAGTCTCAAGCATGTTCTCTCTATAATGATAATATTTATTATATTATTATAATACTATTATTATAATGCTATACTATTATTATTATTATGATACTATGAAGTACCAACTCAAGAACATGGGGTAACATGAGCAAGTCTCAAGCATGTTCTCTCTATAATAATAATAATATTTATTATATTATTATAATACTATACTACTATTATTATTATTATGATACTATGAAGTACCAACTCAAGAACATGGGGTAACATGAGCAAGTCTCAAGCATGTTCTCTCTATAATAATAATATTTATTATATTATTATAATACTATACTATTATTATTATTATAATACTATGAAGCACCAACTCAAGAACATGGGGTAACATGAGCAAGTCTCAAGCATGTTCTCTCAAGGCTGAATGCAAAATATTCTACCTTATTGGAGTGCTTCCTGAAGACAGCTGGGGAAGTCACATCATTTTCATGGAGGAGGTAAATCAAATCATTGTACAGTGCCCTTGTATCTGGAACAAAATACAAAATAGCGAAAAATTTTATACATGGGCTTGAGTGTCTCTCATAGTGAACATTATATGTATCAGTTTTCAGAGTATCATTGATGCAATTCTAAAATTCTTATAGGTCCATTGTCAGTGAAAAATGGTTTGAAATTCAATTATGAAAAAATGTATTGTTGATATGACTTATAAGAAATGGCCAGCATTTACAGAAATTTTACATCAACTAGGTATTTAATAATTCATAAAATGACATTCTAAAAGAACTGTTTCAAGAACAGGAGTTAAAAATACATGCCAATGTACACTGCTATATAAAAGGATGCACTTCTGGAGAACTCTAAAGTCCAACATGCGTGAAAACTCAACTGTATGTGTGACAACTCAACTGTATGTGTGACAACTCAACTGTATGTGTGACAACTCAACTGTATGTGTGACAACTCAACTGTATGTGTGACAACTCAACTGCATGTGTGACAACTCAAATGCATGTGTGACAACTCGGATGGTGCTGTGGAAAGTCCAACATGTGTGACAAATGCATACCAAGTGCATAGCAGTGGTAACTAAAAAATGATGAAGTATAACAAGACAAGACTGAAAGCTCACATCCATGATTGCAAATGAAGAGTCACAGAGATAATTCCTGGGTCACGATTTTATATCATAATAATAGATATTTAAATATAACAAAAATTGAATACAAACATAGAACTCATACCAACAGAGAATGGGAGTCAAACTTACTTGAATCACCAATGATAAGAATGAAACGATTTTGCAGGAGCTGCAGGGCATCTTTCTTACAGAAAATATCTGCCATCGAAATCTATCCTGGAATATTCTACACACACAAGGAAGCAAGGGTTAAAAAATTTCAGTATCAAAAAGACTGTTTCATAACTAACGTAGGCTCAAAGTTAAATGGAACCAGCCATAAAGTGGACCACTGAAAACCATACTAAATATATGAACATTATTTCTTCATATTTGATTTTAATAGTTTAAAAAAATTTTGAGTAGTACCATAAACTGGGGTAACTTTGACTCCCGGGGTAACTTTGACCACTTTTGGTTTTTTTAACAAAAACCCCCAAAACTCAAAAACTATTTGACATAGAAAAATTCTGTCAATGGGCATTAAAGGCCTAATACTGAGGCTACATAACACAATAGAAAGATTTAAAAAGTTTGCATATCTAATAGAACTACAATGCATGGAGTTATTTGGAGTTATTTTACCAAAAAATAAAATTGATTTTACCACCTGGTCAAAGAAACCCCAAGAGCTGGGGTAACAAAGACCATCATTTTTTTTAAATTACATCAAAACTATGAGAGGCAGGATCCAGCAATTTATGGTGAGTAAAGCTAGAGTATAGACCTGTATTTTGCACGTTTCAATTCAAGTTTAACTTATCTAGTAAAAAAATGACATTTTGAAAAAAAAGTGGTCAAAGTTACCCCAGTTTACGGTACGGTACCATATATATATATATACTGGTACTGATAATTAGAATACTACATTATTTAAATAACCAAGATATATATAGAGAAACTAGAGATTTCCTGCTATTTTTGGAGTCACAATATTTTAGTAAAATGTAGGAACTTTCCAATCACGGCTATCAGGGCAGCTATGGCATATCTCTGCTAGCCAATAATTGGAAAAATGATCTATCTGTAGAACTGTTTTGCCACTCTAAAAAAATGTATGTTTTGCCACTCTTTTGTTAGTATATATATATATTCTTTATGATAATAATGTCAAACCTTTGAATATTAATAATAAAAATAATATAAAAATTTCAAAATGTTTAAAAACCTGTATATCAATATTAATAGGAAATTTTTTAATTTTCCTTGATACTTGTACCTCTTAGTATAGTCACTGCAGTGTACTACACACCATAGCATGGAGTGGCTGGCACAATTGATAGGGTGATTTAGACAGTTTTGACATTTGGGGGAAAAAAAATCCTATTCTCAAAAAGTTTTTGCCTTAGAATAAATGTGTTGATGGCTCTCAAAGTAGCAAGAGATACCCTACAAATGCAATGAAGAGATATTTATACATTTACTACCCAATTATTTTTCTTGTAAAAAGGTAAACACTAAAAATGATATAAATCATCCCATCAATGGTCAAAGTCAGCCTGTTTTATGGTTAAGTAGATAACACAATACTAACATCATGTATATACATATATGATATAGGTATGCAAAAAATAAGAAGTTGATTCATTTCTAATTCATAGAGGAACATATAAAAACTTGCTCATAGAATCCTTGGATCAATTTTTTGTCAAATTGGAATAATCTAGCACAATTTATTTTCATAGAACAGCATCCATCCAAGAAAAAGAACAGCATCCAAGAAAAAAAAACTAACATACCTACATTACTTCTAAGCTATGTAGGTCAATAAATGTTTTTACTTTCAAGGAAGAAATCTTAGCTCATTATTCCTAAAAAATTTGTATTATGAGCAATTCCTTAGAATATTTTACAATGCAACATCCAACAGTCAGTATAAATGATTTTTAATGTTGTTTGTTCTTATTTCATTTGAGGTTTTAATTACATAAATTCTATATTCAGTAATACAAAGATAATTTTTGCTAACTGATATCAAAAAATAAAATGATCTGATATGCAGAAAAGCAGAATGCTCATTGGTACAAGCATACAACAGCTCAAGATTCTTGAACATTTATATTATTCCAACAACTATGAATTACATTATCACTTTGAAAGTTGAAAAGGAAAGGTGGTTACATATTTTCAATGTGTAACAATCTTAACATTATCAAGTTATCCACTAAAAGCAATATACTTTTCTTAGTTAGACACAGTGTTTCACACACTAAGCACCTAATCATTATATGGCAATTTTTTTATTGGTGTCAGAGAAGCAGAAATATGATATATTGCCAAATGATCCAATGATGAACTAAAATTAGATGCTGTTGGAGGCATAGTGGCAAACCAGTGAATTTTTAGAATCAGATCATTTTTAATTTTCTCATTTACTTGAGATTTAAACCTATATCTTTGTAGGATGATGCTGCCATACTAGTATCCATGATACTTTGCTGGTCTACTTATAAGACTTAAAATTTAACTGGAAGAAGAGGCTAAAGCTCCTTGCTTTGCCACTATCATACTGGACTTGGAGGCTTAGAGCTAAGCCAATAAAATTGTTGTAGCTGAAAAATAAAGAATATTTTTTTCTAGCTCAGCATAATTTCCAGCAATAGACTAAAATCTAAATTGACATTCAATCACACAACACTCAAGCATGGAAAACTTCTACCATTAGGGCCGCAACTAAAGTTTTCCCGCCATTTCCAGAACCGTGCGGTTTCGGCCAGATGAATTAACTCCCATCTAATTGTGAACAAAAGTGCAGGGTTGCTCTGCACTCTGCAGTCTGCAAGATTCCAAATGTATTGAAAATTTGTCCTGTTGGAGCCATGAGATTTCAGAAACAAGTAAGAAAATTCCAATCCTGATCAACACTGACCATATCACAATATTATGCTGCTTGGAACACACACATGACACATCTCTGTCTCACTCCCATGGCCATGAGCAATGATGATTGATGAGCCCATGACCATAGTGGCAAATGCAAACATTTATGTTTGCCCCTACCTCACGTTCATTTTTTAGTCCTATAACACTAATAACAGTATAAGTAGACTAGTATGTATCTTGGATACATACCAGGCTACCAGCATTATCATACATAACTTAACATAAAAAATTGATTAAATTATTGAGTAGATGAGGACATTATAAATGAAATAATCCTGAAATATCTCTGGTTAACCCCTATGCAGTATGCACTATATTATAGTATGCACTATGCAGTCCCCTCACTCAGTCACTCCCTTGGAGGCTGGAGATGAAACTAGAAAGTAGATTAATTAATCTGATATCATATACCTACCGGTAGTCGTGATAATAACACTAATAGCAGGTTAGCAGCATGTTGGCTAATGACTCAGACGGTCAGACCTGAGACCTCAGTAGCCAACAAACAACAAAAGTTTATCATTAGTAATGGGAAGCTTTTTTGAAGACCTTCCTACAGGGAAATGCCCTCAATTACCTGATTACTTTTATAGGATATTGAAGATAATTTTCAACTGATGAAGTGAACCAATTCTAAAGAATACATGCTTGCTACCATCATCATCATGCATAGTGGCAAAGCAGAGAGTTTTTTAGACTCTCCCTCAAGTTCAGTTTTGAGTCCTATAAGTAGACCAGTAAAGTATCCTGGATACCAGCATTATCATACTTCATACTTAAGAAATTGGTTCAAATCTTGAGTAAATGAGGAAATTAAAAACTAACTGATTCTAAAAAAGCTCTGGTTTGAAACTATGCTACCATGTAATCATGCAGGCTGCATTGCGACTGCATTGACTGCAATTTACATTGGAATGTCATCAGCTTTTCAGGATTTCAGCTTACCTAGACAGAGTAGAATTCTAGGAATGGTATTTCATATTATTAAAAATTGATTCAGCCTTAAGTTTTGACCTAAAAAGTTCTAAAATATCAGCTACCGTGTACCGTTAATGCCACATAAGTAGCCACTTTCGAAAAACCCGCTAGAATACATTAAATTTCGAAACACCAAGAAGCTAAAAATTAAATGTAGCACTTGTGCAGCCTTGCGGGTTTGGCTTATGTTTAGACTCTTTAGAAAAAGTCACTAAACTTTTTTTATTGCTCGATCATATTATAAAATGGAAGTTCATTAGACTCATCGGGAGTGGCGATGTATATACTATAATTTAGTACCTACTTCAAGTTTAAAGTCGCCAACGATATCGACAAAGGGTACACTAAAGTCGCCATAGCCTGGCGAGGTTATTGCAGTCTTTGAGTGAATAGCGCCAGCGTAAGGTAGCTACAGTAGAGGAAGCCTAAAATTCACGCAGAACCAACCCTTCAACTTCGGCCTTTGTTTAACAAATCAATGAAAAAAAAAATAAATAAAATATGGCTTTTGTAGGAAAATAAACGTAACCCCATGGAATGTATCTTTCTCCTTAGCTACCATATTTCAGTGGATCTGCACGAAGATTGAATTTCGTGATTGATGGAAGCTGACTTTTTGATCTGTGCATCTGTGTTGGGGTTCAGTGTTCATTTCATTCTTCTACTTTATCGAAAAAATGCACTTATTGGATGAACATTCCGTACGAAAATTAGTCTGTTACCCTGTAGGTACCTAGTGTAGCAGCGATTCGAGCAGAGTTCACTTTGAGTGCGAAGTTCTTTGTTCGTAGCGTGAACAATTTCTTTGAACCTAGAAAATGTAATTCACAACCCAATTTATAACTCGGGGGCCGATATTACGGCCAACAGAAAGAGCGCATTGCCCGCAAATAAGAGATCTCGACCGCTGAAATGCTTTTGTAGAGTCCGCTGCCAGACACTGTAATATTAAAAACAAATAACTACGCCCACGAAACTACGGCGCAGACTTGAAAGAAATAAAGAGAAAGACCTTAATGCAATCTTTTGACACTTCATCAACTTGACATCGTTCTCTTTCGACGAGGGCCTTAAGGTGCTTATACTCTGGGCGATTACTTGCGTCTAATCCAGTTTTGCAGGCTGAGAGCCTATAGTGTTTTCGGCACACTAGCCAATGCGCCAGAGTTGTCGGATGGGCCTTTTTCGGGTCGCCTGCCGAAGACGGGTCGCCTGCCGAAGACCACCACTGCCCTGAATGTAATGGACCATCATGATTCCTGTGTGAATAATTTCACACAATCGTTCTTAAGGCAAATGGTAGTAAGTAGAATGAAAGCTTCAGAGACTTATTTAATTTATATAGATGGAACTGTTTAAAGATGAATGTTGATCAAACAATTGTCGGTAGACTTGATGGAGTCGGCAATGG